CTGCAGCAGAACTGACTTGTAATCAGGTAATTGATTTGTTAAAACATGTCTAAAAGCATCAAGTATAAACGCACCACAAGAGCAACAAAGAACATCAAAGTACACGTGCAAGAAGGTGGTCCAGACAGAATCGTTTAAAAGATAAGATGAGATCTTGGCAGAAGTCTCGGCCATGAATAATACAGCAACAGTTGGAGGTGAAACTCTAACTTTGTTTTCCACAAAGCAGTGCCACACTTTTATTGAGATGCAATCTGACAGGAGCCTTGCTTTGTGATTATGCAATTATAGCCTCCTGGATAAAAAAAAGACGTGTGCAATGGTTTGGGCTCCTTTTGAAACACGTGGGGAAAAAAATCAATGTTAATTTTAAATGGCAAAGGATAAAATTATTTGGCTTTTCAAACCTTATGACAAGTAATACAAAGTATAGAAAGAAAAGCTTCAGTATCTCTAGTAAAACTAGATACTCTAGTAAAACTTTTCTGTGGCTAGATATATGGCACATTTGCAGCTGTCATTCACATGGGTTTATTTGTTATCATCTGCACTCAGCTGTATTGTGTGGTTATGTGTTTTTGGTCTTCTCCTATTATCAGCTATATGTGGGATTGAATTTACCCAGTAGCATGAGTATGGTGAAAGACATCTTACTTCATTCTGCTGTGTAAGAGAACAAGCAGCTGCTTAATGGCCATGCGGTGAAACCCAACATCTCCCATGGGTGGAAAAGCTGCATTCTGTTACAGCTCTGTTTTGGGCATTGCTGAGGGAGCCCAGAAGGCACGTTAGATGAAGATGGAAGTGAAGACGTGGATTACTGCCCAGTTCAATTGTGATTACGAAGTTACAGTTAGGAAAACCCTAAGACTGCCAGTTCTGATACACCTGGCTTATGGAGTAGGGGCTCCAGAGGACTACAGAGCTAAGCTTTGCTCTGTATCATCAGATCTTCTTTTCCAAAGGGTATGTTCCCACATTTTGTCCATGTGTTTGAATTGCACAATGCTAATAGATTTGATGACTCAGTTTTGCTTGCAATGACTGGAGGAATTCAGCGTTTTCTTGGAAGTATCTGACCTTTCCAGAGGCTGTGACACTTGTCAGTATTTGTTGTTTCACCTGTCAAGGTGACTGTATGGGATTCCAAATTGCAGAGCTGAAAGCTTGCCACTGTGTCAGTGGCATCACTAAAACAAAATTGTTTTCCAAGTCAGAATCTGTTACCACAGGCGGATCTTAACTGTGCCCCTCAACTATTGCTAAGATACTGACACTGTCACATTTGTAGTGTAGGCAGAGACATAGATTTCTTCTGTCAACTTCATCATGAAAGCTTGAATTCTCACTTGAATTTGTCCAAACTAAGGGCTAGGGATGGATAGGCCCACTCTTTAGCAGTGGAAGCCTGTCTCTGGAAGATGAGTTGCCATCTGGAGATGCCTGTCTTTCTCTGCAGGCTACAGAAGGAGCTCAGATCAAGAGCTTATAAGAGAGGCCCAGCTCTTAGGTGGCTGATGCAAGGTAAGAAGAACCTAAGTTTGCAAAAATGACAGGTATTTAAATGGCATGCAGAAAATACAAGGACTGTGCCAGCTTTAATAATGTGAATATTGAGGTTATTTTGCATTCAGCACCAATAATTCTGCAACTTATAAGGAGAAGGTGGCACTCTGGGTGCTTCATTTACTGCGACAAACCTTCCTCCTAGTTTATATATAGATGGAATATATAGAAATCTATTATTTTGATGGTCACTTTTATAATAGCCACAGGGAACTGGGAATCAATTAGCTCAGAAACAACTGAGTGACTGGTCCCACTGATGTATCCTTTAGATTATCATGACTCTGTTGCAGGGTTCTTCACTGGGAGTCATGCAGCAAAAATGTTTGCTATAACTTATCAAGATTTCAAAACAGTGTGAGACACCTTACATTTCATCTCTATAAAAAATGTTATCAGTTAATATCTTAATGTAATTGCTATTTTTATTAATAAGTATTTTGTAGACTTCTTACACGTTAATTGAATTTATCACAGCTGATCTCTTAGCACCAACAATGGTATTTTATGCAGTCTATGCTTTATGATAGTCCAGTATTCAAGACAGGACACTATGCGTGAGATTTTCAAGGCTTTCTTTTGTTCTACAGATATTTTTAATGAGACAGTCATTGCTGTCCTGCTTCTTAACATGGCATTTTTGAAGATGTGCACTAAATTTTCATGTTGATGGAACTAACAGACTAGAAGACAAACCCAAAGCATATCTAAATCAGTGCTTTGGAATGGAGCTGAAACAGACTTTCAGTTTCCCAAAAACTTCAGTGCTTAGACTTATCTATGACTCCAACAGGGATTTAAATTCATGCCTGTATCAAGGAGATACTACAGGATCCAGGGTGTCCTTAAACTTTTATGATCCTGAAGACTGCTCTCCGATGTGTGTCCTTGCTACTGGAAAAGGACAGCGTGAAGATTATTTATGAGGGGGACAGCAGTAGAAATTGAAATGTCAAGCATGTTCTAAACAGAGAGGAAGATAAAGTCTCTCTCCCAGAGAGTCAAAACGAAGAGAGAAAGGCAGAGAATAAGGAAAAGATATGTAATGGACAGACAAGGCACCAGGAGATCTCACTAGTAATACAGCATTTTTCTTTCATCCTCTTCCACGTGGCATTCTTGTTATCATGTTCTGCTTTCATTTCAGTGGCACAGCACTGGACCTCATGTACACTTGCAGTTCAGCCAGCTAAGAATAAATTCTAAAATAAATGGATGTGCCTGGCTTTTCATAAGCCTCAAAAAGTGTAATTTCTAGGAGAAGTTAAAATAAAAACTTAGATACTTCTTGGACTCGCCCAGAAAGAAATCTAACCTGGGGGACATTGTAAGAGCAAAGAGAAGACCAGACCTCGATGGAGAATCACACAAACATGGTAAAAAAGTAGATATAACTGGAGAGACGATGCTCTGGCAAAATAATAAATCAGAAAAAAAAAAGTAATGAATTTTATAGGAACTTGGGGTTAATCACAACCTGTGTGACTCATGTGAAACCATGAAGCCCATGGAAAAACTGGAAAGGAGATTTCTTACAAAGGCTGAGATCAGGAGTGGTCTGATAAAAGAATAGTTGAGGAATGTAAGTTCTCAGGCTGCACTTTGAATGGCCTCAAGGCAGTATTAATGAGTGGTTCTAATAACTAGGGTAAGAGGTGAGGTGTGCAAGTAAAACTGTGTAGGAAGAAGCAGCAGATTGGGAGGAGTGGGATGATGAAGAAGGTGAAAATGAATGCTAGTCTTTGGATGCAGCATCAAGGCTCTGTTCTGCAATGACAGACTCTTTGGGTTACTATACTTAAAATTTTAAAGTGACTTTGGAAAATTAGTATTTTGGATGCACTGTTCTGCAGTCTTATGAAACATCTCAAATGTTAGACTTAGTTTTTTCTCCTCCTTCAATATGTCTTCACCACATCAACTTGAGTTGTTTTTTTTTTCTTTTTTTTTTTTTTTTCTTTTCCTAATGAAAGCAAATGTGATGGGAACATAATTGCAAAACAATAAGCAAAATGAAATATTGTGAATGATTTCAAGGACAGAAATAGCACACCAAGGTATTCTTTAAACTTGATTTTTCTCACGTTGACTGATTGTCAGCTTGTAGTCCCCATTTTATGGAAATATTGAGATGGGGTTTGGCAGAATAGAGTTTCTTCCCTAAGCTTATTCAGCAAATGATTTTAATAACTTTAATTCTGAAGCTGTAATAACCCCTGAATGCATGTAACAGTTATTATCCCCATTATCATCATAATTTATGCTGTTACAGATATCTGTATTGAAGACATTATTTCTGAAATCTCAGTGATCATTCCCACAGTAAGTTCAGAGACTTTTTTCCACTTATAAATTTAGTTGTCTTTTTTTTTTTTTTTTTTTTTTTTTTTATTAGAAACTCCAGCTGACACTGGAAATCTCACTGCAGAGTGTAAGAGTAATACAGCATCACAAATGGGAATTGCTGAATCCTTGTGTGCAAAAAATAAGCTGAGGACTGTGAGGTAATGCCTCAAGCCTTAAGATTCCAAAGTTTTTATCTTGTTCTCTTCCCTTTCTATTAGCCCTTTCCTCTGTTGCTTATCGTTCATTACTGTTGGGTCAGAGTAGAGAGCCTTTGTGTTTCAGCTTTGGGTGTAACAAGCATTAGCAAGGTAATTGTAACTCTGAAGGTGTTATAGGGTAACTAGACCTATAAGTTTATGAACTATTAACTAGTTTATGAACTATTAACTAGAATTATAAGTTTATGTTGGGGGATATTTGGCATGAGTGACTTCCTCAGGACCACAGATCAATTGTCCAGTGGTCTTAGGAACTGGACTAGGAGCTCCTGGGTCTACAGCATGCGTTTTGTTGCAGTGCCTTGGCATGAAGTGTTTGGCCCTGCCGAGCTCAGCAGCCAATTTGTGCAACTGAAAAGCTTCATCCACCAAAAAAAAAAAAAAATATATATATATATGTATATTATTATTATTATTATTATATATAATTATTTTTTTAAAACCTTTCCAAAAGAAGTCATTGTTTCCTGTAAGCAAGAACACAGATTGGATAAATTGCCACGTTTGGTGTAACAAGGAAGGGTGAAGAAAGTTCAAATGGGAGCCGAGGGTACCAGCAGCGTGCTGTTGTGCTGCTGCTCATCCCACCCTTTTTTGTCTCCTCTGTTTAGGCCAGGAATCTCCTTGGCAGGCTCTGCTCCTGCCCTGATGTTGTGGGAGAGCCACCAAAGGGGCCATTAAGAGCTCATTAAGACAAGGAGCTCCCGGATCCCCGAGGGGAGCGGGGCGCTCAGCCCCATCACACTCGGTGCTTCTCTTCCAGTTAGGGGCATGAATTGCCACAAAAACACTCCTCAGACACCTGCAGCTCCCTCCTAACATCGGCCAGGCCCCGGCCCGGCTCCGCCTGGGCACCGCCAGGGGTCGCGCCAGGCCCGGGGCTGGGTCTAAACCCGGCGCCATCGCGCTGGAGCCGGGCCGGGGGCTGAGGCGCGGCATGGGGGGCGCCCTGAGGAAGGGGCAGGCGGTGCGGCAGGCGCCTGAGGGCTGCCCGCAGGGGAGGCGCCCGGCAGGTAAGGGGCAGCCGCCGGGGGTCGTGGCCGAAATCGCCGGGGGGTTGCGGTTGAGCTTGGGGGCAGCCAGCGGGGAAAACGCATCGCCGGGGGTGCCTGCTTGCTGCACAGCCCCGCCGGAGTGAAAGCGTGGCTGCTCGAGGGGTGTTCTCGGCTCTGCCAAGCGCCAGGGAAAGGGGTCTGCCTGGAAAGCCCGAGTTACATCTTCGGTGTTTGAAGAGCACTGGAACGAAAGCGCCTTGGCAGCTTTCAGGTAACGCGTTTTAAGGGTTGTTTTGCGGAATGGGAATCGCCAGTGGCGTGGCGAAGAGCAGAGGGGGCTGTGCAGTAAGGGGCTGTGCGAGGCAGGAGCTGGCGAGCACATTAATGAGGTTTATAACCCTCTAAAACTCTCGAAATTGGCTTATCGTTGTGGCTGCGTATTGCTTAGTAACTTTCTGTTGTACAAACAGAAAGGCATGGCACTGGAAGCACTGGATGGTCACTTATCTTAACACGAAAGACTGAAGAAAAGATCATTTTCAAGCATTTGTCAAAAGCATCCAGATGTCCCTGTGCTTCCTGGGTGATGCAGCTCCCTGAGAGCACTCAGGGTAACCCACAGCACTCACCCCATTAGGGAAGGTCCCTCACCTGATGCTGCCATTACCACGTTCCTATTAAGAGTAGAAATGCCCAATTTAGCTTTAAACCAGGTACCAAAGTCTGGGCAGGTATAGTAGCACAGAGTTTGGGGCAGAATAAATAGCTGTGTAGTTATACCCAACCCAGTTCCTCTGGACAACCGCGTATCTGCTGACACAACCTCAGAAAGGAAGTCTGCATCTTAACCAGCTATTGCAGCCTTGTGAATCTGAGTCATTTGGGCTAACCTGACTTAAAAGAACATATTGTTTGGGCTTCAATTTATACACTCTGCTGTATCTTAGTTTTTCAGTATAAGACATTACTATTCCCTGCTACCCTTTCCACAATGCTGGGAGTGTCTTAATGTAATTCTGTAGTAAAGTCGCTTTAAAGTCTGATGTTAAGCTTTATATTTCAGCATCTAGGCAGCTTTGCTTCTGGGATGGTCACATACGAGTGGATTATTCTGTCGAGCCCAATGAAGAAACAAGTCAAATATTTCAATATCCGTCAAGGACAAGAGAAGAGGGGAGTTGTGGGTGGTGTTAAAAGAGGTTAAATAAGAAGATTAAAAACAAATAATTACTGAAATGCAAATAGTGATGTGTAATTTACTTGAAAACTGAAACATAATTCAAATAAGCTAGTTACTCATTGTTTAAATGCCTCTGAAACAGGGACTATCTTAAATTAACTTTCTATAGTTAGTCATACCAGGGAGTGGGTTGGTTTTGATTTATTTATTTATTTTTACCTCTACATACATCTCTCAGACAAGGTGCATTTAAACTTGTGTGTCCTTTCAGTAGCAGGAGGAAGAAATTGGGTCATTCCTAGCCTTAAGAATTTCTTAATTACCTTCTGGATCTTTTCCCACCTTTCCACCATTTTAGCAATGGGAATAATAAACTCAGAGTTTTGAATTCACTGAAAGACCTAAAATAGTGTTTGACAAAACCAAAAAGTAGTAAGCCAGTAATGAGCGAAACTGGCAAGGAAAATGATGGTTATCGTAGGAAAACATAAAATTTCTAAGATAAAATGCGTATATATGTTTTGTGTAACGTAGCTATTAAAAACATTCTCTTGTCCTGAGCTTGTGCTTTTAAGATGGTTATCCTACAATCCTCAAATAGTATTTAGTTTACTTTACCAGTTGCATTTCAAATAAGCAGTATTTATGACGCACTTTGTGGGTGTGAAGGTATGAAAATTGGAAATAACTCAGAAGATAATGCTTTTCCTGACTTCTTGTTAGTTTATCTTCACACAGGTTAGGGTTTTTTGTGTGTTATTAAACAGACACATTATTGCAAAGAAGGAATCATGAGAAATACCAAAACTGACACTCAAGTTGCACATCTCAGAATTGAGATATCCTGACTTGCAGCTTTTGCCTTATAAAAATATACTGAAATGTACTGTTTGTTCCTGCAGGACTCCTCAAGTGCTGTTTTTCCCCCCAGCCCAGATCCTCATGCTAGATGAATTTTATGAGTGGTTGTGTTTTCAGTTCAACTTACACACAAGTCAAACTGAAGTTGCCCAGCTCCTTTCAGGACTGGGCACTTGGGACACAGCACGTACCCCGGTGGACCTGGAAAGGTCTAGTAGACTTGGAATGAGATTTGGGTTGGATTCTAGCAAGTGAATTAACAAAATATTGTTCAAATCGTTGCTGCTTGTTTCTGGTGCTAATATGAGACGTCCTAGCTCTGCGTTGGGCTACCGACACTGGTGGTTATTGAGTTGCACCGACATTCATGTGTGGTGAACACGTGAGTAATGAGGCCCCAATTTTTAAAAAATTATTTCTGTAGTATTTCCTGCAAATGTTTGACCATATAATTTGCCTGTGAACTGCTCAGGTGTAACAATAACAAATGTGTCATCGCACCCTTTGTGGAGCAGACTTGGCTCCTGGAGGTGACACCATGGTTGCCCATGTTCTTCCTTCTCCCCTTTTTCACCAGTATGGCACCCCCTTGATTTCCACTGTGACTGGGAGCAGTGCTTACCCCTCACAATGTACTGTACTGGTCCTCTTTATTCCAAGGCCATTAGTATGGTTTCTCTGTTTCCAATATTTTTCTGGAGAGAAGCGGTGGCTTGTTCCTGTCTGAAGGCTGTTCCTTCATGAAGCCTATCTTGGACATCCTTTGGTAGGATGTCTTACTATCTGTTTGGCTGTGCTTGCTGAAAGCAAACCAAGTACCAGATGAAATAATGCACTATAGTTTAATTCAGTAGGTTGAATTGGTAACTTATTCTCCTTTTTTAAATTGATTTAAAGTGAGTGAACTTTACACCTGCTGTCTCTTGAGAAAGCTCTGTCTTTGATGCCTCCTGTATTTTGCTATCTGCCTGTTGAATGGACGCACAGCAGTGACATGAAGCTACACCAGAGGAGGTTCAGCCTGGACATTGGGACAAATCTCATAACTGTGAGGGTGGTCAAACACTGGAGCAGGCTTCTTAGCGAGGTGGTCAGTGTTCAAGAGGCGTTTGGACAACGCCCACAATAATACGCTTTAACTTTTGGTTCGCCCTGAAGTGGCCAGGCAGTAGGACTTTATGGTCTCTGTAGGTCCCTTCCAACAAAACCATTCTATTCTAGTGCAGCTGCCTTCCAGTCCGTAGCACCTGGACTTGGGTATTTCCTGAGAAATTCTTTGTCAGATCTTGTTTTCCTCATTCATACTTTTCAATAACCTCCTTTCTGAACGCGGTGTCATGTTGCACGTCTTCCTGGAAAAGCCGTCCTTTGACTTGCCAAGCCGTACCTGATGTTTTCTCTTTTTCCTCATCTCCAGCTTGGCTTACTTTCTGTTTTTCTTCTAAAAAGCTCACAGCAGTTGCTTTCCTCAGCTTATTGTCATTGCTGTTTGTACTCTCCATGCCTTGTACTGCCGTAGTCAGACTTACCTTTGTTAAACCCCGTGTGACCCCTGTTTTTGTTGGCTGCTCCAACTCTATCTACCGGGCACTTTTATTTGCATACTTTTTTTTTTTTTTTACTGTGTGCTTCCTCCTTTTGTATTTGTATCTCCTGCAATTAGAATCTTTAAAGTAGTGTCTGCAGATAAGATTTTGTCTCCCTTCTAATGGTGCGTGTCCTTTTCTTCTCTTGGTGCTATTACTTGGCATGGGATAGAAAACAATAGGAGCCTATTCTAGCGTAGTCCTGAGCTTTTAAGAATGTGGTAGTGTGCTGTAGTGCAATTTCGAGGAGTAAACCGAGATATCTTCTTAGTTCATCTTCGGCAGTAGCAAACTTGCCTATTTTGCTCAAAGAAGGCATCATTTGGCACCGCTGCCTCCCGTGTGTTCTGGCACTGCGTTCCCACTGTGGCGGTAAGGAAGCTCTCTAGTTCCTTAACTCCACCACTGTTTGCACAGCCTGACACAAAGCAAGCACGCTCCTATGCGTTGTTTCTCACTGCATGAATGTGAGCTCTTTGTTGTTTTCCACCCATCCTGCACAACCATTTCCAGTCAGACCTTTGTTGGCATCTGCATGAGGCAGGTTGGTGGTGGGTTGCAGCAGGTACGTAGCGGGAGAGGTTTGAGGGGAAGGATCTGCTGGGTTGTGCTGTTTTGTTCAGCTCGTAGAAATGCAATGTCATTGCTCGCTGGGCTGCTACAAGCAGGAATAAATTGTTCCACCCAAGTTCTTCTGTTTTTCAAGGACAAGAAAAGTTGGTTACTCTGGGTTAAAAACAAGTGCTTCTTTCCTCCTATTAAAAGCCCTGCTCAGATTAAAAACAAATATGTCAGGCATCCAAGCAAAGCACCCAAATTCATTTCACAGATTAATAACCGCCTTAAACTTTTTGCACGTTGTGGGAAATCGTCTGCAAAACCTTTGTGTTTCCTTAAACCTTGCTCACTTTTAATATTGACTTGTTTGGCAAAAAGAATGATTCTGTGTGGGATGTTTCCCTCCAGTTTTTGATGTTTTGTATGACTCAAACACAACCCTAATTACAAAGAGATGTATGGAGCTGGATAAATGGTTTTAACTGTGGTAGAAACAGTAAAGGCATGGCTGGTGGCAGTAAGGTCTAATGAACGGCAGACTACCAGGAGATCCTGTTCGCAGCCCTGCTGAGTACTCACCCTGCTGAGTTTCACCTCCCAGTGCCTCAGGTGCCACACTTGTTAAAGTGTGGCTGGTGGTACTTCCTCCTCTAGCAGCAGAGTATTAATCACAGTCTGTAGCGGCCACAGGAATTTCCAGAAGAAAAAAAAAATCAGGAAGCTCAGCTTTTGCAGGTCATCCCAAATGAAGGGTGAGCACAGCGAGAATGATACACCTACAGGTAGTCATACCAGAAATCAGCTTCCTTTGTTTTGATTTGGATTACTCAACG